AGAAAGGACTTGTATCGTTAAAGTTTCATCCGAAAAAATTTACGGAAAATTAACAAACGACTAGGACGTAACACTATAATTAAAATATGACAATGTTAAATGTAATAAAAAGAAAATCAATTTTAAACATAATATGAGGTGTGTCTGAAACAATTAATCCCATTTTAACGAATTTCTATCACGAAACGAAGGAACAGGGAACAAGAAGTAATAAATAAAGTTAAATATTGTTACGTATCTGCTTGTTTGTTTGTTTCCAGTAGAAATTCTTTCAGAGGAGCTTCAGTGATACGAGTCCTTTCTTGATTAAACCAGTTTATTCTTCCTCGATACAAACTTTTAGTACACATAAGTTCCATAATCAGTACATTTCTCGTCACTTTAAACTTAATTTTTTTTATAATACACACTATAAATCACAGAGATTCACAACCTCGATAACTTCGCTTTCGACGAGTGCAAAACACACACTTTACGGCTCGAAACTAACACAATCATAAATTACACGGAACTCAAAGTAACTACTGCTCTCTCTTCATTCACCCAAGCTGGCTTTTCTGCCAGGTTTATGTACTAACAAAGAGGGCATCTTGGACTTCCCCGATCATTCGAGAAACATCACGCACGTTACCAGCGGCGTCACGTGACTTCTGCTGTCGTAACAATATTCTGTAAATGTGATAAGGTTCGAGATACTTAGATAATTAAAAGAAAAATTTAAGAAGTAAGTAATAACAACAGTAAATATTGTAAATAAATTAATTAGCAAAAATGAGTGCAATTTAACTAGTGACGTGATATTATATCATATACAGAACCATTATATAGCTAGTATTAACTGTATATAATAAGAGCTTATACTAAGGATACGTAAACTTGTCAATACAACATTTAAACGATTTTCAAAAATGTTAAAGTGTGAACATAAATGATTTGTTCATCTGTTCACTACTTGATAATTATGTTGAAACGGCCTTTTAGGAAATTCTTTGTTTATTAAATGCAAGCAAATTGTATGTCAAAGTGGAGCCCTTATAAAGCATCTGTTTCCCAGGCAATATATATTAACCAGGAAGTTATTCATACCTTTTCCAAAATTTTCAAGTGAAAGAAAGGTTAGGTATTAGAAATCAAAGAAACAAAGCCAGTCAAATTCATTTTATAAATGAATAACCTATTTTTTCTTTATATTTTCAATTTATTGTTAGAACAGAAAAATAGCACGTATAAAAATCACTTGATATCTTAAGAAATTGTTTTTATTAATGGATGATTCAAAAAGGACATCTCTCTGAACATTAAAAACTTGTTGAAACAATTTAGAGAAATAAACACTAGAACGTTCCCTGTCCTTTTAAGAACTTCGACACCTAAGAATCGACTCATTATAATACAGTTGCGCTCATAGAATGCAGTTATGTTAGGCCAAACTAGAAAGTTTAAAAGGCAGAAGTCGTCTACCATCTTGGGTCACAATTCAATTTCAGACAGGCTTCATTTTTTGGAATACATATCAAGTCAGTTGTTAGATGAAGAAAAAATAAATGTGAGTTTATTGTTTAATAAGTAGTGTTGTTTCTTATTTGTTTTTTATAGTATAATATAGGCCTAGGGTTACCATATTTCCTTAACAGAAAGAAAATGTATGGAAGATATGTGAGTCAAACATGCTGCTATAGGCTCAAATTTTTCATGATACACTTATAAAAAATGTTGTTGTTATTTAGCAGGAAGGATGTTTAAAATCACAGAAGTCAAATCAACATCAGAGCATCCCACGTCAACCTAACTTACCAAAAACATGATACTAACTGAGTGTACTTTTAACATCTCTTCAAATTATTTTTCCATGCGGGAAGTACGTTTAATGTCTAACATCGTCAAACACTAATACTGAGAATAAATACAAGCTGTACTAAAATATTCTGTACAGAGAAGATTTATCATAGAGTAAGTAGACTTTATATATAGGGATGGCCAAGGTACTCAATAAGCATAATACAAATATGCACGCTAAAAGATTACCAATGACAGAAAGTTTGCTTTGAAAAATTATTGCCAATCATTTTCATTTGTTTCTCTACCCAACAAGCCCCAAAACAAGGCAAGACACCATCGCTAAGATACCAAACCAAAAAGTGATCAACCCACCAAACTGTTCATATTGCTTCTTCTTGTTTCAGTCCAGATAACTCTACAACTACTTTATCACTGATGTCAGTTTAAACGCAAAACCACTCTATGTGTTTCTGAGCAGAGTACGATGTCATCGCTTAGTCGTAATAACTAGAAGTAATTTTAAAAAATCATAATTCTAGTGTAAATGACATTATCATTACCTCTTGAAGGCAGCTTTTTTACAGAAACCTGGTGATCCTTTAAAAACTGAAGTACAGGGTGAAACAGGAATTACCAACCAATAATAGATGAACATTAAGTGACTGTAACGTGTAGAATTCTGAATGCTTTGTAAGGATGATCTATGTATAGCTGTATCATCGATATATTCTTGTTTGCATTCTTTATGATACTGCCATCCCTACATCATTTTACATTTACAAAATGTTTTTACTACTTGTAATTAACTTTATGTGTGTTTGTTTTATTTTCTTCTTCTTCTTGTTATTGTTTTACATACATATATACACAGCGTGGTCACAAGTAAAGAGACACCACCTTTTCAGAAAAAAATGAAAATTTTCAGTCATATTCACATGAATTGATATATTTATAATTTAATTAATATCTAGTAGATCTTCCTTTCGCTTCGTGGAGTTCGTTGATCCTTTGGGGCATCGTGAGAATCATCTCGTTAATTTTAGATTGTGGTATTTTCGCCCACTCTTGCTTCAAAACTTGGAGTAGATCGCTCTTCGAAGTTGGTATTTTTGGTTGTTTCTTGACTTGCCGGTCGAGTATGGCCCACAGGTTTTCGATGGGGTTCATGTCAGGAGATTGGCTCGGACAGGGCAACTTCTGGATACTATTTTCTTCCTGCCAGTTTTGGGTGTTTCTAGCAGTGTAACACGGTGCTCCATCTTCCTGGAACAACGTTGTGTTATTGTCCACGAAACCCTAGGAATAAAGTGGCAAGTGTCCTTCCTCCAATATTTCGACGTATTTCGCAAAATTTATGTTACCAACGCACTCCACTAAGCTCGATCTCCCACCAACCCAAACAGCTCCCCAAACCATCACGCTGAAACCACCATGCTTCACAATTGGCTGCAATCTGTTGAGCCAAAACTCTTGGTGAGGCATTTTCCAGACCCATATCCTTCCACTGTCCGAATCTTGATTCGTCTGAGAACAATACGGTGTTCCGAAAGGCCAGAGGCTTGGTCATTATATCACTTGTCCACTTCTTTCGTTTGACTATGTTGGCAGGTCTTAATAAGGGCTTCTGTCTAGCTGCTCTGCAACGATAACCCAATCTGTGGAGAATCCGTTGAACAGACTTCGGGCT